TAAAGAATGAATTTTAATAGTGCGTTATAAAAGTAATAACACTATTATAGTGTTATTTTATTTTTTTTTTTTAATTTTAATTCACCTCCTCAAGGTCGAGACGGCCACTACAGACGAGGAGGCTACTTATTTTGTGGCTATAACCCTCTCTCAACTCTATTACTCCGAAACACAAACCTTGACGAACAAGGCCGCTGCGCGGAGAAATGAGTTGAGCGCGGTACTACCAGGGACGTGGTGGGAATCGAACTCGGAACCACTCGTTTATGAAGCGAGCGCTCTACCACTACACCACTACCGCATTTTACTTACATTATTACTTTTGTAATGCAGTTAGTGACTAGAGTGTTGTTACTTTTGTAATCGTAAGTTTATTGTTTTATTTTTTATTTTTTCACTAACAAATTTAAGTTGATTCTCCCCATAAAAACAAGGAACACGGTTTTGTATAAAATAAAATTTTGAATACTAGATATTTTTCCAGATTTTGCGTTTTGCATTCGCTTAATTCAACCCTTGTTGTTACATTAAAATTATACAAATAAATTTTACAAACACATTGCAATTTCTATTTTTGCTATCCTCTTAAAAAAAAAATTAAGAAAAGGAAAATCTTTTATTTTATTGTAGACTTTAAACTGTTTTTTTTTTGCTTCGTTTTATCTAATTTTGTTGCTGAATGTAACTCTAAAGAAACAAAAATAAAAACAGTACACAAATTATTTAAACTAGCAGTAAGCAACCCGTAATACGCGTTGTTAGTAAATAAAATTTAAAAAAAAAACGCGTATAGAAAAGCCTAGAAACTACTTTAAAATAGAAAAGCCTAGAAAATGACGTAACTTGACTAATAATAATAATATTAAATTAGCGTATTCATATTATCAGATTATTAATTTGTTTTTATTTATTCTATTTCAATCTCTTTTTATTTTGTTAGTTTTCTTTTTTTGTTTTTGAAACTTTTTCAGCATTATTATAAACTGGCAAACGGCCGTGTTCATGCTTTCTAAAATATAATCGCGTGTGGTCATACGAGACAAAAAACCGCACCCATTTCCTGGTAAGGCTTGTTATACGTATATATTAGTTCGTTGCTACAGTTTAAGATATATCTAGATAACATTTGTTTTTAAAACAGAAAAAACTGTCAAGTAATGTAACAAGTTCTGTGTACAAATCCAAATAGAAATGATAATTAAAACCTTCAAGTCAAATTCTTAAAAAAGGACATGTAATAAGTTATTTGTACAAATTTAATTAGAAATGATATTCAAAACCACTCAAAATCTTTTTGTTAAGTAAATCAATCTACTTTTATTTGAATATATATATATATATATATATATATATATATATATATATATATATATACCATTATATATATATATATATATATATATATATATATATATATATATATATATATATATATATATATATATATATATATATAAAATGGTTTCCTTAAATAATTCCTTAAATCTTTAATTAAGGTTTTCTCGATCTTTTGTTGTAAACTTAACAAAATCAAAACGCATCAACGTGATTCAAAAATATTTGTGCATTTTTTTCTGTTGTTATTTTAGGAGTTTCAAGAAGGCCTAACGGTCGCATTACAGAGCGCCGAAGAAGAACCTTTAACTTAGATTACGCATCGAACCACAGATTTGTGAAGAATCCAGCTTGAGATAGCTAACAGACATGGTGCTAACTCTAAACATTTTTTAGGTTATTACTTATGTCAATTAATGATACTTTGCAAAATCTTTGCAATAATTGGAGGCTGGAAACAAAAAATGCCTGTAAATTTTTTTCCCTCTCCCCCTTGCCGCAAACGTTATAGCAACAAGTTGGTAAAATATTTTTTTTGCCTTTCTTAACTAAGTTTATATACATCGATAAATTTTACGTTTTATAGTATTATTTCTCTGGGTTCAAAAATTATGGCCATATAAAGTTTTATGCTTAAATTTGTAAACCTCCTCAAATGGAGGGGGTTACAAATTATATATGGTCATTGTTTTTAAACGCTTTGAAATAAAACAATTCTTAAATTTTATCCATATGTATAAATTTAGTTAAAAACGGCAAAAAAATTATTTCATGTTGTTTGTTTTTATATCACGTTTGGGGAAGAAAAAAATAAAATTTTTCCTGTTTTTTTTGTTCCCAGCTTCCAATAACTGCAACTTTTTGAAAAGCATCATTATTTAATTTAAGTATAAACATACAAATGTTTGGATTTTGCTCCATGTTAGCTATTGAATTTTAAACGTCTATTGGACGTATTACGGACGTCTGGAAGTCTGATAGACATTCAACGGATGTACCACACCAGACCTTGTTACGAGATTTTGCTGCGTAACAGAAAAGCAAAACGTGAATAAATTTAACTTTACTCAATAAAGATATTTACATTGTTAAAAGTTAAATTACGTCAGTTGCGTTTTTACTTCATTGTAATTAAACTTAAAATGACATTAAAAACTATTGTTAGTCTTTGAAACGAAATAGCTTTAAATTGAACAATATTGTTATACAAAAAAAAAATAGTTTTAATGTTAATTAAAAAAAAGTCTTCTTGTATTAAAATCTTATACTTATTAAAACTTTCAAACATTCGTTTTATGGTTGTTTTTTTTTAAATAATTAAAATTTAACACTTGTTTATAGTTGATTTTCTTAAAGAGATTTAAATGTACTTACAACTAAACGCATAGATTGGGTTTTCCCCTTTTTAAAAAAACGTTTGCACTAACTGGTTTTGATAAAATAAATATTGTAAAGAAACGAAATTTACAGCTTTTCGGCTTTGTTTTTTTTTTTATTTTCATTAAAATATTTTATTTTTATGTACAGTGAAACCTAATGTATTTTTACTGTTTTTTTACTCAATCCAAAAAAAATAGTGTTTTCGGTTTTAAGATGTTATAAGCAGAATTTGTTTTTAACAAATATCATTATAATTTTGAAATTTATGTATCTTATATTTATAGCTCTAGTACTAGTTTTGTTTTTAAAATAAAATAAATATAAGTTGGGCTTTTAAAGAGTTTATTTACTGATCGCGCTATTTTTAATAGGTTTGAATTTGGGTTTGTTTTATAAAAAAAATTCTTTGGCAAACGACTAAGAGAAAACCCAAACATAACATTTATAACTCAAGTTTAAAAGAACTTTTTTGTATTGAGGTTATTTATTACTTGTAGTTATAATGATTAATGCGCTTCTGTAAATAATGAATGAAACTGTAAAATAATGGAAAAATAAAAACTGGAAAATAATGCGCTTTTGTTCAGCACATTATTCGGACCAGTATTTAGAACTGGAACTTACCTGAAACTTAATTGAAATTAAAATAAAGTTATATGTAATACGAACATTTTAAAGTAACTTGAATTAAATTTATTAAACCTTTTTTTACTTTGGAAATTTTATCATTAAAATAATTGTGAATGTTTTTATGAAATATTTAATTTGAATAATTATGAAATTAATTATGAAATTATTTAATTTAAATGTTTTTATGAAATTTAACTTATGAAATATAAAACTTAATATTAAATATGATAAAAAGTTTAAACTTAAAACAATTATTTTTTTTAAACTAATTTTTAACAACAACAACAATAAAAATAATTAAACAAATTTTTCTTTAACAAAAAATCTATTAGTTTACAATTGCAGTTAAATGCTTTTACTTAAAACTTTATTTTCTTCTGAATAAACGTCTCATAAACGATATCAAATGTTAATTTAAATATTCTAAAAGATTAAAGTTTTTGCGTACCGCAAAACTGCTGAACGCGTAGGCAAATGGCCTTTTCACAGGTAAAATGCAAGCTGCATAACAATACTTAACAAGGCCAGCCAAGACAACGCATGCCCACTAGGTTAAATCAAAATTCTTATTATTAGAACCATTAAATAAAGACTAAGCGAGAAAGTGGTTGTTGTAGCTAGCTTCTTGAATCCCCTCTTCTTCTTCTTTTTCAATTGTTCTTTAAAAGAAATCTTTAATTGAAGTAGCTTCTAAAGCTTCTCCAAGCTCATCACATGCTCTATATTATCTTGAATATATTTTACTGTAAGCCCAAAAAACTTGAATTTTTATTACAAAATATTTTTCTTATAACAAGAAATAAGTTTTTGGTTTTAAGAAATAAATATCCTACCCTACAATTTATTTCTAAAACAAGAAATATATTTTGAGACAAAAATTTCTTTAGCTATGATCAATAGATTTACAATTTTGCTGTGAGTTCTGATGAATTGCCAGCAACTTTAAAAAATTTTAAAAGTTTTGGAATACATTGTATCTAAATAGTCTAAGGAAGTCTCGTCCGTAGGCACTTTTTCAAACTATAACTTAGAATATCAAAAATTGACCAGTGGTCTGGTGAAATATACAACTGGAGACCTAGTGGCTGGTCTTTATCAACAATAATTGATTTCAGAAGAATTTCTACTTTGATTCAATCCTTTTTTTACATCTTTTTGAACCTCCCTTTGTATTTAATAAAGAACTTTTACCATTTTTATATTGTGATCTCTGTCAAAAGATGCTTATGCACGCAAAAAATAACTCCTATGGTTTTACCATGATTTGAATTTTACTTCTACAACATGTTATATATTCAAAGCAGGCTTGTATTCAATATATGCCTGGCAAAAGTCTCGTTGATCTTAAAAGTGTAAATAAAAAGTAATGCAATGTACCTAAATTAAGGTTCAAAATGACACATAAAAACTTATTAAATTTAATTTAGACAAGGTAAAATCAAAGTGCTACTTTTATTGTTTTCATTTTTACTATACTTTTATTGATTTTAGGAAAAGGATGTCAGTGGAAAAAAAATTGGTTTAGAATTATTTTTTTTGTATTTTACATCTGATATTAAACTGTTTTGAAAACCATTGTTTTTAAACAATTTGTTACTTTTATGACATCTATTATTCTTAAATAATAATAAAAAACTTATGAAAATATGTTTTACCTTTAAACTTGCAGGTCAAGAACCAAGATGCCCAAGAGCGAGAAATGCAGTCAGCAACTTTATTGATCTCTTTGAGTATTTTATTACTCAGAATAAAAACCTTGTTGATTTTAGAGAAATGAAACTTAAATTTTATGGAATTCAAGGCCTGTTAATTAGCTCTTTATTTTGTTAATTTTCACCTAATGGTCTGATTTTTTTCCACAAGTTCGCAATAATCTTTGCACTTTTCAAAAGTCTAAAAGTAAATAATTTCAAAATTAGAAACTTATATATTTTGTTTTTGCAAAAAGGTATTTTAAAGTAAAGTTTTTTTTTTTTAGTTTTATTTTTACCTTATTACTATTTTTCAACCTTTTATGGTTTTGTCATTAAAGTAGTTTATTCGCTGGCTTAACGATTTTATTTGCGGCTACGGCCATATGAAGCTCTCTGACATGATGGCAGGAAGTTATCAAGAATAATTGTCGGCCTAACTTAGCAAATCTTGTACAAACCTATTTCAAATAGACAAGGATTAAAGTGGGTGAACTGTATGTGATCAAAAGCATCTAGCAAATTTCTAATTGCTGAGATTTGAGCCTCAATGCTATTGTGATTAAAAGCCACGTTTTTTAACTTCATAACAAATTTGTGCGTTTTTAAAATACCAACAGTTTACAAAAACAATAGTAATAAAAATGCGCTCAATTAGTTTATATAAATTCCTTCGATTATTTGTAATGACATTAATATATACTTAAGGATTTGTAAATTTCTATTCGTGCCAATTGTTTTAAAATGCCCTTAAAAACTCAAAATATGTGAAAATTTCAAGCTTTAAAAGAGTGGCGCGAGTATAAATTGTCATCCAAAATGAAAACAAAAAAAAATTCATTAAAAAAACAATACCATGGGAATATTTTATGACATTCCGCGATTTAAAATTGTTTCTCGAGGGTCAAAATGGGATGGGAATATATATATATATATATATATATATATATATATATATATATATATATATATATATATATATATATATATATATATATATATATATATATATTTATATATATATATATATATATATATATATATATATATACAGGGCCGCCAAGAGGGAGGGGCAATTGAAGTAGTTTGCCCCGGGCATCACAGTCTATGGGGCATCACATATACCTAAAAAAAAATTTATTTCAATGATAAAAAATTCAGCTGATAACATATTTAAAGCTTAAGCAATTTTTGTGTAATAATTTCGTTTTCCGTTAAAACTTTGTTCACATTTAAAATAGAATAATTATTACTTTACAAAGTTTTCATTTTCCATTTGAACGCTCACGTTTTCATTGGCCTTTTGTTTGCATAATAAAGTAAAGATTATTTTCTTATTTAACGGCATGTAAAAGTTCTTTTGGACATGAAACAAAATCGGAGATGAAACAAAGTAATTTTATAATGCATTCTTTATGTCACAATTTTTCTGGCTTCAACAAATTTAGCTTTTAGAAGTAAGAATATTGTTTTTAAATTTTAATTTATATTTTGCATTATTTTATTTATAATTTAAAAGTCAAAATTAAAATTTATGATTGGATATAAATATGGATTACTAATTTGATAATTTTTTATTTGCAATTAGAATTCAATCAAAAATTGTTCAAAAATGGGAATGGAAACTTGGAGCTTATTGCTAAGCAAGGCTACGACAATGGCGTTAATATGGCAGGTATTTACAATGGAGTTCAAGTTTTGATTAGCCAGAATAATCTACAAGCATTTTTCATTCCTTGTTCTGCTCACAGTTTGAACTTATGTGCAGTACACGCTATTGAATTATCGGCTTCTGCAAAATCCTATTTTGGAAATACTCAAAATCTGTTCAGCTGCAGCCCAGCTAGCAGAAAAGTTCTTCAGGAGGAGACGGACCAATAATTACATAAAATATGAGTTACACGATGTATCTCAAGAATTGAAGCAGTCAAGCCACTAGCAAAAAACCAAGAAAGATCTTAAAATCATTACATCGTCCGAAAGAGTTAGACCTTCCAGGCGAAAGTAGTAATGAAGTGTATTATCTAACTTAATGGGTGAAATCTTTTGAATTTTTTGTTTTCACTATTTCTTGGTATAAATGTTTGAATGTAGTTAACAACGTGAGTCTTTACTTAACTCACTCTTGATGATGAAGTAAAGATTCTAAATTGCCTTTTGACAGATCTGGATTAAATCCGTTTATCTTGGGATTTATTATACCTGATATAGGCAACAGAAGTTGCAAAGAACTTAAAATTGAATGAAATTATGTTTTCTGCAAAGAGAACGCAAAAAAAGAAGGTCTTCCTTGATAAAACTGCTAATTACTACCACAAAGAATCATCGAGTGTATTGTTTTAAATGTTGCACTCGACAATCTCATTAGTCAAATGAGATCAAGATTTAAAGTAATGAAAGAGGAATGTAACAAGTTTTTCTCATTTTGGTCTTCACAGAAATCTTAAACAGACAAACAACTAGGTTTAAAAGCAAAGAATCTGGCTAAACGTTACCCAGAAGACTTATGTAGAAAACGAATTTTTTAATGAAGGTTTTTTTCCGTAAGAAGAAATATTCTAGCCAGCAAAAAGCCTGTCGAACTTCTAAATGAAGTTTATGTAAAGGGGTTGCATTTAATATTTCCACGAGTGTGTGTTTCACTTAGAATCAAACATTATCCGTTTCAATATCTGAAGGTGAAAGATCTTTGAGCAAGTTAGCTATCATCAAAGGTTATCTTCGTTCCACAATGGACCAGAAGCAATATTGCTACTTGATTGATCCTTTCAATTAAATCAGATTTAGCCAATAATGTTTCTTATGAAGAAATTATTTTTGCCGCTAAGAAGGCCCGGAAGATGTGTTTAATATAAGGACTTAATTTTACATAGTTTGCTTTTAAAAACCAAAACTAATTAAATGTGATTTCAGGAATTCTATGAAAGTAAACAAAAAATAACTATACTAGTTTATTTAGTATTTGTCATTTTAAGAAGTATAATTGGGCATCCATTAAACATTTGGACCTGGGCATCACAAGAGCTCTAGGCGGGCCTATATATATATATATATATATATATATATATATATATATATATATATATATATATATATATATATATATATATATATATATATATATATATATATATATATATATATATATATATATATATATATATATATATATATATATATATATATATATATATATATATATATATATATATATATATATATATATATACATATATATACATATATATATATATATATATATATATATATATATATATATATATATATATATATATATATATATATATATATATATATGTATATATATATATATATATATATATATATATATATATATATATATATATATATATATATATATATATATATATATATATATATATATATCGAGGTTAAACGTCTCAAGGTTTTTATATTTCGCTTTTCTCTCTCTTTTTTTTATTTTTTTATTTTTTATTTTAAAACTTGGTTTTTGAATTTGTATTTTGCTATTTGTTTTTTTCTTTTTGTTATTGTCTATTTAAAATACAATTTAAAGGTTTTTATTTAAAAAAGTATAAATATATGTATGTGTATATGTGTTTGTGTATATATATGTATGTGTGCGTGTGTGTATATATATAGGTATGTATATATGTATGTATGCGTGTATATATGTGTGTGTATATGTATATATGTGTGTGTATATGCAGAGCCGTGCGTGGTATTTTGGCGCCTGGAGCAGGCATACTTATAAGACGCCTTTTATTGGTAGAATAATTTTTTAGGTGACCAACATATACAAATTTTTCTAAAGTAGAATACAGGTAGCCTTCAATTAACGCGGTTGTATTTACTTGATTTTTGGAATAACAGTGCACTTTACAGAAAAATATTTCTAATAAAATTTGTAGAACTTCGAGAGTTCTACAACTATTCTTGAAATATTTTCTGTGGAGTGTACCATTCTTTTAAAAATTGGGCAAATGCATACGTTAATGAAAAGTCGCCAGGAATAGATCGTTGAGTTGGCATTAATGACAAAAAAAATAAAAACCCTTGATTCATCGTTTTTATATTCAATTTTTATATTAGGATACATTTACAAAATCAACAAAATATGTATATAATAAAAAGTCAGAAGAGATTTCATTTCTAATTACTCGATCAATAGAAAGCCAAGTAACAAATTCAATCGATTTTGATAGCTTTAACAACGATATAAGTCAAAAAGCGAAAAAAATTATCTTATTTGAAAGAGCATTTTTATTTAAAATTTACTTGCCTCGTTTTTAATTCAGCAAAATCGTTAATTAAATCGTCATAATTTAACGAATCACATCTTTCGTTTTCAATCGACATCATAGCTAGACCTACTAATTTCTCTTGACTCATTGACGATTTTAAATAGTTTTTTATTATTTTTAATTTCGAGAAACTGCGTTTCCCAGAAGCAACTGATACATGTAAAGTTAACAGAATACGAAGACAGATTAACAAATTTGGAAATATTGTTGTTATATTATTTTCGTGCAAATAGTTCAGTATTTCTAGTGGTTTCATTTGAGAGGGTAACACTGCAAATAAATTTATAATTTCTTCACAAAGTTCTAAACCGTCATTATCTCTTTTATCATTATCTGTTAATAATAAATGTTAGTCCATGCAATTTTTAATATACTTGTTCTATTTTCGGATTTTAGTTTATAAATATTGTATAATATTTGAAACTTTTCTACATGTAGTTTTAACTGTTCAAATCTTTCATCGATTGAATTAATTGCGGTGTCCAGAATGTAGAAGAAGAAGTTGACTTTATAATTTTGTTGTAAATCTATAATAGGCAGGTCATTGGATTCGTAATCAAATTGGCCTTTCTTTTTACGAATTCGAATCGTTGAAATATCTGGGAATTTACTATCAATCATAAGAATTTCGGCTTCATTGCTCATCGACGACTTTTACAAAGGTTTCATCCTGACGGTAATTGTTTAAAAAAACCAAAACTTCTTTCAAAGCATTATTGCAATTTAATAAATTTAAATTTGGAGACTGCATTATTTTTGATACAATATTAACTTTTGATAAAATGTCGTACCACACAATCAGGCTACAAATAAATTTAAAACAAGAAACTTTTTTTGCAAATGACTGGGCTTCATGTTTCGTTTGATTGTCCCGATTTTCATCTAAATGGATATTGACTAAAGCATCATAAATATGTTTAAGTTGAAATCTCAAAGGAATAATAGCAGAAATTCTACTTTCCCATCAAGTAGAGCAAACTGGTTTTAAGGTAATTTTCACATGCTGTTTTAAAATGTCCCACCGACTAGGAGATGACGAAAAAAATACATAAATTTGCTGAATAATAAGAAAGCTAGCTACTTCACCTGAAGCAGATGCTGCCTTGTTAACAACTAAATTGAGGGAATGACATGGACAAGGAACAAAAACTGAACATGGATTTAATTGTAATATTCTGCTTTGAACACCCAACCTTTTTTCTTTCATGCTCGCACCATTATCGTACCCCTGGCCTCTCATATTTTCAATAGGAATTTGATTATCTTCTAGTTCTTTAGGAATTTTTTCAGTTAGGCCTTTAACAGAAGTATCCACTACGGGAATGAATCCTAAAAAATGCTCGCGAATTTCGAACCTGTTTTTGTCCTGGAATACAAACCTTATAATAATGGACATTTGTTCAACATGACTCTGATCTGGGG